CCCCCCCCAGCTCTGCCGGTGCCCCTCACTCCCGACCCGCAGCCCCTAGCCCTGCCGGTGCCCCACACTCCCGACCCGCAGCCCCTGCTAGCCCAGCCCCGGGCTCCTCTCACTGCTGTTCTCTGTCTCTAGGACCAGGAACCCTTCCCGGTTCTCAGTGCTACTTGGGACCCACAAGCAGCTGCACCCCAGCCCCCATGCTGTCATAGCCTCTGTGGGGCAGATTGTCCCCAACCCCCGCTACGGGGGCAAAATCTCCAGTGGGGATATCGCCCTGGTCCGGCTAGAGAGGCCCGTGAACCTCACCGACCGCATCGTCCCCATCTGCCTCCCGGACGCCCAGGTCCAGTTCCTGCCAGAGACCAAGTGCTGGGTCACTGGCTGGGGGGAAGACAAAGATGGAGGTGAGTGAAGTGTGGGGCTGGGATTGGGGGAGGGGGGAGACAGGGCCCTGATCCTGTAGGGGGCAGGGAGGACATAGAGAATCTGGGGCATAGCTGTACTGGAAAGAAAGAAAGAAAGAGTGAATGGAATAAGAAAGAAAGACATGAATGGCATAAGAACAAACGAAAGTAAGAGGAAGATGAACGGACTAAGAAAGGCGAAGAAGCGAGAGCTGGGGGAAGAAGAAAGGAAGAAAGATGGCGGATAGATGTGAACAGGAAGAGGCAATGCAGCGTGCAGGGCAGAAAGGAGCAGGAGATACAAGTTGGGGTGGGTGGGGGAAGGGATTGTGCCCCCCCAGTCCATGCCACCCCAGGGGGAGGGGCAGTGGGTGTGGCTCCCAGCCCGGCTCTCACGCTGCCCCCTCCCACAGCAGGGGACGGCAAAGCCCCAGAGATGCTGCAGAAGCTCGAGGTGCCCATCATGGCCCAGGAAACGTGCAACGCCCTCTACTTCAAGGGCAAAGCGCAGACCATCCAGGAGGACATGCTGTGTGCCGGGTACACCGAAGGGGGCAAGGACGCCTGTCAGGTGAGAGCCCTGCCCCAGAGCCAGCTGCATCTCGGTGCTGGGTGGGGGGTTCCCATATAAACAGCTCCCACATCCCACCCCAGAAGTGGCTGCATCTCAGCGCCGGGCGAGGTGCCCACACATAACCAGCCCCCACCCCCCACCCCAGAGGGGCCATGTCTCAGCACTGGGTGAGGGGTCCCTCTATGAACATCCCCTGCGCCCCAACCCAGAGGGGCCACATCTCAGTGCTGGGCAAGGGGGTCCCCTTGCCCCCACGTCTCACCCCAGAGGTGGCTGCATCTCAGTAACCCCTCGTCTGTCTCTTTGACCACTAGGGTGACTCCGGTGGTCCACTGGTGTGTAAAATGGGACAGAGCTGGGTCCAGGCAGGCGTGGTGAGCTGGGGAGAAGGCTGTGCTCAGAAAAACCGCCCCGGCGTTTACGTCCGAGTCACCAGTTACCACGGCTGGCTCCAAGAGACCGTCCCAGACCTGGCGTTTGTCCAGGGCACCATGAATGGAACAGCCCACAGCTCGGTGGCTAACAGGAACCGCGAGAAAAAATTCAAAGACGGCAGCTTCAGTCATGCGCCCGTGGTGCTAGCCAACACCCTGCTTCTTGCGGCATGTGCCCTACACCTCATCTGAAAGCCAGGACTCCTGGGTTCTATGTCTGCGAGGGCAGTGGGGTCTAGTGCGTTAGTGCGCTGGCGGCTGGGAGCCAGGACTCCTGGGTTCTAAGTCTGCGAGGGCAGTGGGGTCTAGTGCGTTAGTGCGCTGGCGGCTGGGAGCCAGGACTTCTGGGTTCTGTCCCCAGTTCTGTTCTTTCCTCGCTTGGTGCCTCAGTTTCCCCATGTACAATAGCAGTCTAATTCCCCCTCTCCTCCCCCCCCGGAATTATTCTAAGGTTTCTTTTATTCCTGTTTGTAAAGCACTTTTGTAACCTGCATTCAGGCACTGCAGAACAGTAAATTATTTATTTATTATTATTCCAGTTTTTCGAGTTTAAATTAAAACAGTGTGCACAAGGGACCCAGCTGGATCAAACCCATGGGCCCATCTAGCCCAGTATCCCGTCTCCTCCCCGTTGCCCCGGCTCAGACCCATGCTTGGTCCCATGGAGGAGAATATTTCCGGCAGGCTGAAGCGTGGTGGCTGTGACCCACCGTGTTGCGGGGAAGCCACAGTCATTTTCCCCAGCAGGGGCAGGGCTTGTGCCTGGGTGGGCGTGGCCGGAAGGGGGCGGGGTCATTTGACATGGGGTAGGCAGGACCGATCCATTGGCCACGAGGGAGAGTCCACAGGGGAGGGGGGATGCTGTGGTACAGTCATGGCTGGGTGGGCGTGGCCTAAAGGGGCAGGGTCACTTGACATGATGTAGGCTGGACCCATCCATTGGTCACGAAGGAGAGTCCACGGGGGAGGGGGGGTGATTCCGTGGCACAGTCGTAGCTGGGTGGGTGTGGCTGGAAGGGGGCGGAGTCACTGGAGAGCTGTTCCATGGCACTCTCCCCTTAGGGCCTGGCCTATCCTGGTGGGCGTGGCTTTAGCTGCCAGGGGGCGGGGCTTCATAGAATGCTGAGCAGGCAGGTGGCTAGGAGGAGGGCAGTGGGGGCAGGGCTGGGGGGCCCACCCCCAGGCAGGCTGTAGGTGGTGATATTGACAACCCCGAAGGTGGCGTTGGGCACGTGCCGCCCGATCCAGTCCAGGTAGGCGCCGACCCGGATGTAGACCCCAGGGCGGTTGGGGAGGGCGCAGCCCTCGCCCCAGCTGACGACGCCGGCCACGAACCACAGCCCAGCCTTCTGGCAGACCAGGGGGCCCCCCGAATCGCCCTGGGAAGAGAGAATTGGTGACACCGGCCTCACTCCCGACCCGCAGCCCCTGCTAGTCCAGCCCTGCCCCCCCC